GTTGAAACTTTTTAATTTTAATCCCTTCAGATTAGTTTAATCCCTTCAGATTAGTTTAATCCCTTTCGATAAACCAATGAAAAACAACGAAAATATGATTCTGGTAAATGACAATGAAAAAAACATTAATCACTTTTAGGCAAAAATTTTAAATTAAAATCAAATTAAATAAAAATTTAAACGTTGTAGATTAACGTTGTCTAGACCAGAAGTTATTACCTCAAAACTTGTTTAAGTCCTTTTCATAAATTTCCAATTTCCATGCAAAACTGAACAAAGTCCTTGTAAAAAAGGAACCTGGAATATTCCCGGACCGAAGCTAAATGTTTTTACCCACTCTTAATTCCATTCTCTCAGAAATGTGCAAAAAGAAAAGTATCTCGGCTGCGCCCGTACAGACCTTAAACTTTAATTTTACAGGATGAGGTTTCAAAACTTCTCTCGTCTCGGAAATATTTTAAATTATCTTTTTTCAATGTATCATTTATTTTAAAATTTAATCTATTTGTGAAGCTCTTTCTTCCAAATTTGATTTAAAATACTTGAAATTAGAATTACTAAATTCACAAAATGGTAGGTACTGAAGAATTGGGGGAACCTAAGTGAGAAATAAATTAAAAGATGGAATTGATAAAAAATATGAGGAAAAAGGGGGAAATGAAAAGAAGGAAAGGGTGGAAAAGCCAGAAACTGAAATAGGAGAGATAATTTATTATTTTTAGTTTATTATTTAATTTTCCCATCTATTCCATACTGTAGGTATCCTGCATTTATAGGACAACATTTATATACAACAATTTACTATTTTTTAGTTAATCATTTAATATTTCCATTCATTCCGTGCCATGTAGGTTTCCTATTTCAATACAAGATTTAAATAAAAAACTGAACCTTTGCCACAAACTCAAATGTTCTAATCCCTATATCTTTGCAACCTGATGGTGTAAACCTTTTATTTTAGTCCCTCATGGAGCTATAGCACTAGACCTAACTTCAATAGTAGATAATGTGAAAAAAATCGAATCTTTCAGTCAGACTTGCAATGAAATCATTGACTATTGACAAGTAGGTCGAATGATGATTAGGACTTATGAAAAATTGTAAAATCGACGTGAAGGACTAGTTGAGGCCAATGATGACAAATGATGTGAACAAAATTGTAAATTATTTTATGAGAAATCAAATGTTACATTAATATATTACTTTAATCGACTAATTGTATCTCAACCAAATGACGTAGTCGTGGAGAACTATATGTTACAGGACTAATAATATCTTGGCCATATAATGAAGAACAGGGGAAACAGAAGACACATAAGATGAAAATAATTTGTCACTAAAAGGTACTATTTTCCTCATTAGATAAACTATGTGTAGATAAGACGACAAGAGGAGTAAAAACAAATTAAAGAGGGGTGGAGGGGGGGGGGTTCTATTTCAGAATATTTCTGTATGAGCGTTTTCCTTGCTTTGTTGTTTTTAACACGGGGGGTTCAGGGGATAAATGATAAGAAGGAAATGATGAAAACCAAGAAAGAATAAGATATTTCTCCAACCTCAAGAGTCGAGGCTGGAAAGTGCGAGAATGAAATGAAATATTTTGATAAATGAATTGTGGAAGTATCCTACAAGATCCTACATTTGCTCAAACATTAACCAAATGGTCCAATATCTTTTCAACTCTTAAAATATTTGGTTCGCCCGGACACATTTTAAATTTAAAACCAACTCTCTGACTTGGAAAATATTATCTCGTTGGACAAACTTTAAACTTTAAAGATTAGAAATCAGACTTATTTTATATTATTTATTTTAAACAAATGAATTCCACTTAAGCCCCCCCCCCCACCTTTACTCTTTTCAAACCTCAAAAAAAGATATTAAAATCTTAAGTTTGTGTTTGGCCGGATATATGCCTTTACTGGTCTGATGCCTGATTGAACAAATTGAGGTTGATATAGATGTTAAGGGGTTGGATTCGACATTAATAAATTTCTCTCAATCTTTACTACTTCCCTTCCTCAACTATATTTCATAATATTGTGCACGGAAATTACACTTTCAACCTATTATTGAAAATGTAGAGACCTCAAAAAATAAAAGGACTTAAAAGGATTTAAAAGTTCGTTTGATCCTTTGATCCCAACACTTTTTTCACCACAATTTGACCTTTTAAACATTATTTTTTCGTCTTTTCTCTTTTTGTACTTTAAATGAAAAAGTAAAAATAAACAACTCTGTAAGTTTTGATATTTTTACATAATGTATGAAAACGCGATTAAATTCAAATTTAAGAAACCGAACGCAATTCGCACTGGTTACTCGATGTTAAATTTTAATTGAAGATAACAAGATTATACATGTTCATCTTGTTTCTTAGTTGTTTTTTTTTAAATATTTAGCTAACAACTTGTTTTTACGGCTGGCGCTGGATTTTCGAACATTCCTGGAACATATGAAAATGTCGTCTTCATTATCAAAAACCCTCGAAACCGGAATAAATGTTTTCAAAAGTAACTCTCATGATCATAAAAAATAAAAAAATATTATTTAATATCAACTTTATACGAATGCGTCGAAAAATTGGCGATGATTATAGGTTTTAATAACTGAATGATTTGTTTGGAATTAAATTGATTTTTTTACGATCCGAGTCGAATAATAGCGAATATTGCAACTTTCTTTTTATGACCGCTACGTTCTTCGGTATAAGTCGTTTTTAACAAATTTTTCCTTAACGATTAGACAGATAGAAGTAAGATTATTAGCGATCACCATCGATAATTTTTCGCCGTTAGCCTATACCCCCTTTCATTTTTTGCGAACACTCCCTTTAGGGTTTAAAGTTGAAAGGTTTGAGTCAAATAACATTTAAAGAGTGGTATCAAAAAATAATCCAAAATTAGAATTTTTTAGTTCTCTCTGTTTAGATTTAGACAATGTTTCAAAAATTTTAAAATGCAATCAAAGGAAATAAGTCTTTGCCACAAACTCAGATTTTCTGATATCTCTATTTGTGCAATCCAATGTCGTAGACTTTAGATATTTAGATAAATCAAATAATCTAGTTTTAAATATATAAAAGGTTCTTCCGAACTATTGACCAATAAGAGAGGAGAGAAAGAGTTTAACTCCCGTAAACAGATTCAACATTTACGGTTTCATTGATGGATTAAAAGGATATATTAAAAACTTGTTGAAATTTCATGTAAATGTACCATCATATTGTAAATATATCGTACGCTACATTCCAATTCAATTCATGTACCGGGCCGAATTTCAATTAGCCAGGACAAGCAGTACGTAACAAATGTAAGGCAAAAACGGGATGGTACGCCAAATGAATGATCGCCTTCTATTAAAATTTTTTATGATATTGGGAATAGAAAATATGAGTTTGTGACAAATATAATATTCCAACAAGTATACTCTCGTGTTTCACAAATTTTTCTTCAAATGATATATCCTTTATTTCTTGTTTTTAAACAGACAGTCTTTCCGAGTTTGTTATTTAATTATTAACTTGTTATTCACATTAATATCAACAACATGAGAAATAGAAACAGGAACGGTTTTTAATTTCAAAATATATTTCACCATTTAACAATATGAAGACATGTAAAAGTAAAGGAAAGAATGGCTAATCAAGATAACATCCAAGAAATGTTATAAACCATGCAATGCGCATGTCATCTTAAATTAAATCATTCATCTTAAAAACAAAATCAATTATTTTTAGGGATCAGAGGTAAATACACTAAAAGAAAACCTAATCCACAACAATAAAAGACTTACATACATTTTCCATAGTATTGTATTTCTAAAAACCTTTTTTTCGTGCATTTCTACTTATTTATCTTTGAAATTAAAGATCACCACCAAGTCATCTATCAATTGTAATTTTTACTGTTTAGTGGAACACCCTTCCTTATGAATCGGGTTTTCAGTAAATTTTTACCGAAGTAGAAACTAAAAGCAGATAATTCAATGCGTTCATCAAACGATGAAAATTTCTAATCGATAAAGATAATGTATAAATGCAATTGTCAGATATTATAACTCTGATAGGATAGAAACAGATCTAGACCCGTGGACCATGAATTTAATGAACGTGAGTGACCTAGCTCGAAATTTATTTTGACATCATCAAAAAAGTTATGCATCACATTTTAACATCGAATCGACTTTGAAGATTCCCAACGCTTTGGCCTTTGGTTTACCTCTCTAACTAGCTCACTTATACTTTTGGTAGCCTTGGACATGTACTAGACTAGTTAGAACTGAAACAAACTTGATTATATAATAACTGAAAAAACCTTGTCAGTTTTTTTTCTGTGAGATTGGTCCAATTTTGGAATTCATAGAACCTTAAAAGTTTATATTTTTGTAAGAAATTAAATTTTTTTTTCTGGGCTGGCTGATGTGTGCAGATGTTGGAAACAAAGTATACGAAGCAAACTAAATTCTTTTATTTTAGATTTAAATTTTTTTCTATTTTGAAACATAACTCCGTTTGTTGAAAATCTGTTAAAAGCAATAAAACAAATGTGAGCGTTTTCCTTGCTTTGTTGTTTTTAACACGGTGTCCAGTTTTTCACATTCAACTTCATATTTAACCCTTTTTCTACAACTCTAAATCTTTTCCGTAATGCTAAAATAATTGAAGAAAAAATACGAATTACATCATACTAAGCAACATTTTCTACGTAAAAGGAAAAAGGAACACGACATTTATTCCATAGATTTCTGGTTCTCACTGCATTGCATATTTGCGTTTTGCATTTAATGCAGTTTCTCAATACAGAATAGCTTCCACTAACAAATATTAACTGAAGAAAATGTACGTAATTCTATTTCAGACTGAGAGATGAAGGAGGGGGGTTTATGCTCCCCCCCCACCACCACCACCACCACCACCACCACCACAAAAAAAAACACAAGTTCTCTTATCATCATTGTTACCACTTAATGAAAAATCAACTACGTTAAAATGACATACATTAAAAAAACAAGAATTTATTTGATATCATTATTTACAGAACTTAATAAAAGATGACACAAACCAGCTGCAGGATGAAGGTCAAACAGGTGAACACTGAGCTGACCCTGCCAGCTGCAGAGGATAGTTGACCTTCAGAGTATACAGAAGGAAGAGGTCGGTATATTATACCTGGAAGAAAAAAAAATGTTCAGATAAACAAAACTTGAGTATTATAAATCCTGCAGTCATCCCATAATTTGTCGTCCGTAGGATTGTACAGTAATAATCAGAATACTCATGAATAGGAATTCGACTTTTAGACTCAAGGTTTGACTTTAAATAATTCAATGTACAGGAGACACAGTAATTGTGCAGTGCAAACAGACCCATTTCATTTAATAAGTGATTGGATAACTCACTTGTAAAGTTTTTGTAACAACATCAAATGCATTAATTTCGTGTACCTATTCTACAGTTTTCTGGTTATCATTGTATTATTTCTTTTCTCATTAGATATCACGTGGTAGTGTGCTGTGGACTGTGTACTGTAAGACCCGTAAATTTTATTGTGTAATGTGTTCTGTATACTGTGTATAACTGTGTACTTTGTCCTGTAGTACACTTATACACTATACAGTGTGTGTACCTCAGAATACTAATATCACAGAATCATAACTAGAAGCATTTGGTTTGGGAATTGTTTGACTTTTAACATGGTCAGTGGTCACTGTATATATATATCATCCAGAACAAGGTTTTTAGAAAAACTTCCAAAGCTATAATACCGTCCGTTATGATTCTATGATATCAGTATGAGAAGTGTACTGCATGGTGTACCTGAAGTTCTAAAGATGAAAGATGAACTAAGAGGACTCCATCCTTGACTATTCATTGCTCGTATTCTAACTTCGTATTCACAATCCCCAGTCAGTCCACTCAACTCCATACTGTAGGTGTCCTGCATTAGGACAACATTTAGATACAACAATTTATTATTTTTAGTTTATTATTTAATTTTCCCATCTATTCCATACTGTAGGTATCCTGCATTTATAGGACAACATTTATATACAACAATTTACTATTTTTTAGTTAATCATTTAATATTTCCATTCATTCCGTGCCATGTAGGTTTCCTATTTCAATACAAGATTTAAATAAAAAACTGAACCTTTGCCACAAACTCAAATGTTCTAATCCCTATATCTTTGCAACCTGATGGTGTAAACCTTTTATTTTAGTCCCTCATGGAGCTATAGCACTAGACCTAACTTCAATAGTAGATAATGTGAAAAAAATCGAATCTTTCAGTCAGACTTGCAATGAAATCATTGACTATTGACAAGTAGGTCGAATGATGATTAGGACTTATGAAAAATTGTAAAATCGACGTGAAGGACTAGTTGAGGCCAATGATGACAAATGATGTGAACAAAATTGTAAATTATTTTATGAGAAATCAAATGTTACATTAATATATTACTTTAATCGACTAATTGTATCTCAACCAAATGACGTAGTCGTGGAGAACTATATGTTACAGGACTAATAATATCTTGGCCATATAATGAAGAACAGGGGAAACAGAAGACACATAAGATGAAAATAATTTGTCACTAAAAGGTACTATTTTCCTCATTAGATAAACTATGTGTAGATAAGACGACAAGAGGAGTAAAAACAAATTAAAGAGGGGTGGAGGGGGGGGGGTTCTATTTCAGAATATTTCTGTATAACATTTGTAGAACCTGAGTTTAATGTCTTCATTTCTCAAATGCCAAATTTAAATCTTTTAAAACTTTTCTGTTTAATTCGTGTCATTTTCAGTGAAACAAATAGAAAAAAAAATAAAAAAATATGTAAATTATAAATCTATAATACTAAGAAAAGAAATCAAGTCTTCGCCACAAACTCAAACTTTCTAATCCCATATATCTTTGCAACCTAATGTCAGATACGTCAGATATGTCAAACTATGAATTCTGTTTACAGATTGAATAATCTAAGCTTGAAATATCAAGGTTGCAAAGATAAAGGGATTAGAAAATTTGATTTTCCTCAAACAAATGCGGCTTGCATTTAAATGTAAGTAAAGGAATTGAGTCTTTGCAACAAATTCTGATTTTTTATCCCTATATTTCAGCAACCCAATAATATTTCAAATTTATTTTATTTGATCCAACATAAGTTACAGTTTGAAATATCATAGGTCAGCTACACTGAGACTTTCATAACTTAAGAATTATGTTCGAGTCTGGATTAAGTAAGTTTTCCCCAGGATAAGTATCAGATTATGTCATTATGTGATTTAAGTGAGTTAAAAAGGTTTCACTGTATACTATTTTAACCTGGAATAAGCGAGTTTTCTCCGTAATAAGTGCCAGATTATGCCAAGTGCCTTCAGCTTCAGTCACAGCTCGTCCTGAAGCCTAAACAGTAATAACAAAATATGAATACTCTCAGATTTCATTCATCTCCAGTAATAACCACAAAGCTTTTAGACTCAAGATATGACTTCAAATAGTCCAATAAGCATGGGACACAGCAATTGTGATTTAGTAAGTAACTATTAAAACTATTTGCTTTGTTACAATATCAAATATGTAATAAATACAGTTTACACGCACCTAGATAAATTGCGTTGTACATTGTCTGTAAATCTAACTGCGTTAATCCTCAAATATGCAAAACTTGTAGCTATGTATTGTGATTAGCTTAACTACGATGATATATATCTGCGCAAATGATTGTAAATACGTGTACAAACTTAACATGTAACATAAATTTGTGAAACACATTAGTTAGCATAGACTCCACTTTGATTACGGGGATAGAAGTAATTTGGTCCTATTTGAAACATAAGAGCTAAGATCGTCTTATTGGTTTGGCATTGATCGATTAAGAGCTTGAATCCCTATTGACATTGATAGCTGGTCTTCGTTGAAACATATGAGTCGAGATCATGCTGATTGGTTTGGTATTGATCGATTAAGAGCTTGTGTCCGTGATGGCATTGATAGCTAGTCCTCGTTGAAACATTTGAGTCATGATCGTGCTTATTGATTTGGCATTAATTGATTAAGAGCTTGGGTCCGTGTTGACATTGATAGCTGGTCCTCGTTGAAACATATAAGTCAAGATCGTGCTTATTGGTTTGGCATTGATGAATTAAGAGCTTGTGTCCTTTTTGACATAGATACCTGGTCCTCTTTGAAACATATGAGTCTAGATCGTCTTATTGGTTTGGCATTGATCGATTAAGAGCTTGAATCCCTGTTGACATTGATAGCTGGTCCTCGTTGAAACATATGAGTCGAGATCATGCTGATTGGTTTGGTATTGATCGATTAAGAGCTTGTGTCCGTGATGGCATTGATAGCTAGTCCTCGTTTGGGGGGGGGCGGCTAGAGACCACCTACCTCACGTTACTATTTGATGTTTTTACAAACATGCGTGTTTTTAAAATTAAATATTAATAGCATATATTTGTCATTACCATGTTATAAGCCCGCCTTCAAAGAGTTAATAATTTACAATTTTCAAAATTATAAAATTTAGTTTTGTTTAAAACTTTACTAAAGTCACTATTTGCTGGTGTCGTGAGGCAGACCCAGTCTAGGGTTATGTAAAGAGGTTGTGTGTTATAAGTATATAAAAATATAATGGCGTGTTCTACAATGATAATTAGTCATACTCATGTCCCCGCAACACTACGTAATATTCTTTAAATGGTATATTTATATACAAATGGTATTTCCAAGGGCTTGGAGAGGAATAGTAACAGCTTTTATTCACTTCTTTTTCGAGCTTATTTTTTAGTCTTTTTACTCTTCTTACTCCTCGTCAGATATGTCATATATGTTAGATATATCATACCATGAAACCCATAAAACTGTGGAATAAGAAGACGATCGTTGTAATTTTAAATAGTCCAATATAAGAAAAAATACAACAATTGTGCCGCTCAACAAGTTAAAACTTGGTTTATATCGGAATATTTTAGTTTATCCATAAAAAACCGTTAAAACCGTAAAAGATCTTAAATACCTAAATTCAAATAAATTGGACATGAACTTTTTAAATACAATTAAATTTGTTTGATTTATCAAATTAGAAACAAGTCCGGGACATTTTATTAAAGTTAATAAAATTACAATTATATAGTCATAAAAATTTGTTTAAATTTTAATATTTGACTTTCCTCCCTCCTGACCTATTGGATAGATTTTATGGTTAATGGGGGAGACGTACGTTCAAATTTAAAAATATCTAACTTTCCTTCCCCTGACCTATTGGATAGATTGTATGGTTAATGGGGGGCGGGGCTGNGGGGGTTGTACGTTTAAAAGAACTGTCGATGTAATTTTTGAAGTGATTAGCTACATTTAAAGTTATTATCTACATTTAAAGTGATTATCTACATTTAAAGTGATTATCTACATTTAAAAAAGTTTAATCTGGTGTTTTTGCAGGTCACTGTTAAGGAGAAACCACAAATTTACCATCAAGTTTTATTATACAAAAGTGTACCGTTGTTAATGAAGCTCTTGAAATCAAAGCTTAATTAAGATATACACATACATTTTAACCGTTTGTTTTTAATCTTTGTGACAGAAACAATCTAAAGGAATAATAATTGTCTTAAAACATTTTTTTAAAGTGAATATTTGCAAATTATCTTTTTTTCCATCTGATAATCTGAGTTCTTTTCCCTTATGTCCATTTGACAGCCCAAATTTTTGTTTTAAATAATCTTTTTTGTTTGTTTATTTTTTTGTGATTTTTAACAATTTTTTTATATTTTTTATCGATTTTGATGGTTATTATATCGTTAGAACTGACGAGGGTCAACCCAGACCCAAATATATTTTCAATAAATGTGGAACTAACATCTACTTTTTTTACTCTACAGAGGTTTGGTCCATCACCATCACCGAATTTTAAAATTAATTAAAATAAGGTCGTATCATCCCTGTATCGGGTGCCCGGAGGAGGGGATGTAAATCTTCTCTCTTTCCACTACTTTTTAACCACGTGCTTTCAACCAGGTCTGACACGATTTTCCATCATAAATATTGAATTGGAAAGTTTAAGATGTAGTTTAAATATCGGTAATGTTTTATTATATTTTTCAATATTTCCAACAATTGTATTGACTGGCTTCTTTCTTGGATTATTTCCAAATCTTAAATTTCTTCTTTAGAAGTCAGGTTTTAAACATCTATGTAACATTTATCTATATATAAATGTATATATGAAAACCTATATATATCTATATATAAGTATTTATTCAAATCTATATATATCTATATTTCACGGGAAAGTATGTAAACTGTATTGGAACAGGTTGTATTCCAAACGTGACACTGTGACCATCCACCCCCGCCTGCCCACCCCACCCCCGAAAAAACAAATCGGGAAATCTAAATTTAATGGATTCAAAATGAATATTGGCATCAATTTTTAAGACTAGTTCGACTTTGAAGTGTACCTTTAGAATTACTGACTTACTTACAATTTACTTGTAGTTCTACGGACATTTTTATTTTATAACTTTTGTTTTTAGTTTCAGTTTTTAAGAAGTAATTGGCAAAATTCTCATTCGATTTTGCAACCTTTGGATCACTGTGCTATTAAACTCGGACATCTGAACCATTGTGATTTGTCTTTAAAATTGTATTAAAATTTACGATGAAAAAAAATCAACAAATACATTTTCTTTTAATTTCTTAGAACAGAAAAGGTTTAACGATTTTAAAAAACCTTTAAAGCGGGGGCAACATTATAATATACTACTGCAATATGACAACGTAAGCAATTCCATAATGAAAATGTTTAATATGTTTTTGCATCTTCATATTGCTGACAGAACATGTTTTCCTTTCTTCCTTGTTTTGCTGGCAAATTAACGAGAAAATAATAATGTCTCTTATTTTTTTTTATAAATATCTAAAAACCAGGGAACCAGACACTCCCTAGCTAAGTAAATTTATTGCTATTAATTATGAGAAAACTCTCAGCTAATTGCTATTCACAAAAGTTAGTCTAAGAATAAAGAATAAACTTTTCTCATTTATCAATAAACAATTTCAGACACCTTGAATACTTTTTAAGGCACTAACTCTTAACCCTATTTCTGCTGGGGGGGGGGGTCAATTTGACCCCCCTGTAGTTTTTTTACATAACTCAAAAAGTATTAGTCTGAGGCCTTACATACCCAAAGCCCTCCCTTTAGGCCTAAAACCGGGCTTTAATAATAACTGCCTGAGTCCTCAGGTACACTGCCTGAATGACTGCTTTTGCCTGTAACAAACTAAATCTTTGTTTTGACCCACTTTCACTTGTCAGATTTTGATAAAATTTAGCTTTTTGGAAAGCCTATGACATAAGGAAACGGATTGCACAAGTTTTGCGAAAAAAAAAATTGCAAATGTTTTGCAAACAACCTGTCAAAGGAAATTTGCACATTTTTAGCTTTTCTTGATTAAAAATCAGGTTATTTAAAATTTTGCAAACATTTTTGCATATTTGAAATGGCATGGTCAAGGGCTTTTCAACAATGTATAATTTGTCATTTTTTGGACAAATTTTTTTTTGCAAACATTTTTACTATAAAACTGGATTTTGCGATAAAAAATTCAATTTTCGCAAATTTGCAAAATTTTTTGCAGATTCTAAAAGTAGAGCACAAGAGCTTTCTAATGATGTATCATTTGTCATATTTGGACATAAAACATGGGATTTAGAGGGGGGGGGTCAAATTGACCCCCCCCCCTCTCTACTGTGTATAAATGTTAAACTGTCTGAAGATATTAAAATTATATATTTTAATCTTGTGATTTTTTCTCCGACATTCGAGAAATTTCTTCAATATTCAATCTTAAAAGTTCTCGTTTAGCTGAATATTTAAATCTTTTGTTTTTCTATGAATAATTTGTCCAAATCTGAATTATCATTGATGTGGTCATATTGATATAAGACTTAGCTTGCCCACCCTATTAATAGCTCAGTCAGATTGTACCAAATCTTTGATTTGCAATGTAAAATATCTCTATATCAAGAAATCCATTCTCGAAAAAAAGGTAAAAAGAAGGTTAAAAGGTTTGCTTATAGTACACTTTCAGGTATTTTGATACAAATTCTTCAACGTTTTTCTTCAATCATAACAGATTTAAGACTTGTTTATAGGAAAGGGTGTGATTAACTGATACATAGTTAGTTAGTTAATGTCAGATTAATTCAAAAATAAAAATTAAGTGGCTGAAATCGGATAAGCCTAAGCCAATAATGAAAGTTTGGGTAATATCACCAAAAAGTTTAACTTCAAAACTTTAGAATTGTGGATATCGCAAACAATGAGCTTGATCTATTCTAATTATTAATCTTAAGATTGATTCAATCTTACAGAAATTTCCAAGAAGTATCTAAAATGCAACTAATCAGAGCGTCAATTGTAGAATTCAAACCACCAATAAGGAAGCCTACAATTTATGAAATTTTGCCCGCGATCAATCTCATTAGTGGGAATCCAGCATAGATTTCTAAAAGAGAGGAGTAAAGTGTCCACAGTGGATACAGCTCAGTTCATTTAATCTGATTGTTTTGTTTTAGTTTGACTAACCTTTCCAATCATCCTGTAGAGTATTGACTGGTTGAGAATAGGAAAAGTGTGAGGAGTCCAAACTTTCCAAACCAAGGTGTAGCTCAGACTAAACAGTTTCAGTAATGTAAAATATTCCAGATTTTGACCGGCTCGCAGACCAAAAAAATGTGTTTCTTTTTTAAATTTCTGTTGAACATTGTAGGTTTAAACTGCTGCCTAAAATTATTTGAAACTATGTAAATTTTTCAAATAACGAAATAACTTAGTCAAATATGCTGTAGTTTAAACAAACTTTATAAAATAAAATCTTGAAGATATTTTTAATCGTACATAGTTATAATTGTTAAATGCTTTTTTAAAAATAAAACTTTATTCTTGAGTCTTTACCACAAACTCTGATTTTCTTCTCAATATGTCTTTTAAACCCAAAATCCTGGACCTTCGTAATTCAAAGTATTAATTCTGTAAAATCAAATAATCTAAGTACTAAATTTCAAGGATTTACACCCTCAGGTTACAAAGATATAGAAATTGTGGCAAAGAGTCAATTCTTTAAGAATAAAAAAGATTGCGTTATAACCTGAATCTACTATGTCCTGGGCTCAGTGTGATCGGTTGGTCAGGGCTTCCTGAATAAAAATACATTTTTTTAATTATTTGATTCCACTGTGAAGATTGAACAACGAGTGCTTCTAATGTACTGTAAGCCATAAAGAAACACTTTTTGTAGAAAAGTTTTATTCTATATTTTTTATTCTTAGTTTTTAATTCTTTAGTTCTGCTTTGAACATAGAAATTGTACAATTTGTTAATGAGGTTCCTAATTAACTCTGATGTTGATAATTAGGATTAAAAATACACGCTGCTAATAAATAGAAGAAGTTAAGATGTAAAGTTCAAGAAAAGGAGATGAGATCAATAATAAAAACTAATTATAAAAAAAACAAAAAATGTAAAAGTATAAGATGGTAAAGGGAAACTACCAGTAAGATAGAAAAGGGAGACTTCCTGTATAAGATAGAAAAGGTAACTACCAATAAGATAGAAAAGGGAAACTACCTGTATAAGATGGTTAAGGAAAAGTACCTGTGTAAGAGAGAAAATGGAAACTACCAGTAAGATAGAAAGGGAAACTACCTGTAAGATGATATGAGCTGGTTGAGGAACCTAATGGGTTTGTTGCAACACAGGAATAGTTTCCATAATCTGTCTCCTTAATTATTCCATTATTATAATTACAATTGCATGGTAAAGTTATATTTTTAAAAGGAGTTTTTAATTTTTTTAATAAAAGAGAGTGTTTTTTTTTTGTTTTTTTTTATTAACTAAATCCATTCTCCAGGACTCAAAACCTACAGATAACAACTAGTTTCTATCTAGTGGTGTAACCTTGCATTATACTGCATCAAAGCAACTCGGGATTTGAACGTGGAGGACGATTTAAATCCAATTAACATTACAGAAACATCGAATAGAGAATTCATAAAATGATTATGGATCACTTTATAAAAGTAATCCTTTCAGTGTTATGAAAACCCCTATCACATGTTCGTGACTTTTTCTCAGTAATTGCAATATATATTGTATCATAACCTTAATATTGATATAATATTGAATTTTATCTTTTGAAAGATTTGTTTTGATTAAATCAATTGTGTGCAGTTAAGTTATTTTCTGTTTTATTATATTTGTTTCATCTGATAGATAATATATGACACACAATAATTTCTCTTTTTAGATTTTTATTTAGTGCAACATTGATAAATATAATTTTAGTCAAGATTCAGTGCATGTTAAGAAAAAGGCATGTATGCATTGCTATTATATATATATATTTATTTATTCATTGCCAAAATAGATAAATTGTAAGAAGCGGCGAATAGTGCGATTATACTTTACCTCCAAACTTTTGATTTTTAGAACATGATTTTTCAGATCACTCCCTTCATTTCTCAATCCCTTGACAAGATGGGGTTAAAACATGTAAATTCATAATTAGATATATAGAAAAAGCATTTAAGATATTTTAGATAAAGGTTTAAAGAGTAGCACTGTGTGATGTGACTCAGATATGCCCCATTTTTTAATGAAGGTTCACATGAATATACAACGTTAATCCATTTGAACAATTATTTTGAAAACAGACTAGTAATATCTAAGAAAGGCGTCAATCCTCATATGTCAATAACTCAATTTGAAGATTTCCGGTGAAATCAACAAACAAGGATATCTGCAGAAAATGATTGGTTTTTTCCTTCAGAGTTTTATTCAGAAAAAAAAAAGAAATCTTGACGGAACAGTTAAAACAGAAAGCAGACAACTATAGACAGTTCTGTATTAGATTTAAGACCGGGTAGACTTTAAAGCGTCGCAACTCCTAAATCTTTGGATTTACCCAAAAAAAAGTTTTCCTTCATCAACTTACCCATATACTGGTTTTGTAGTCTGACACATTTTTAAACTGCGACGCACTTCAGTTTACAAGGAGTAATTGGTAAATTCAAGAGCGCATGCAACTTTACCTGAAGTTTCCTTGTATCTTGCTGATACACCTCGTAGTTGTTCTTAAACCAGGTTACCTGTAAACATATGGGTATAAGATTAAGGTTAGTTTGGCGTCTTGTATTGTATCTTGGTTTTCTATTCTTTTCGATTTTTTAATCATTTAAAGGGACTGGACAAGTATTTCGCTTCACAAAAATATCCAATGGGTTAATATGGCGAAATATAAGCATTAACGAAGAAAACCCGATTGTGCGTTGATGAACGATTTGAAAAAGAACAAATTCTATCAGAGTCAGAGTTTGGCAAACAAAAATAAGATAAAAATCATCTTAATTTCTCCGATTTTACAGGAGTCTCTTGAAAGCCAACCAAACATAAATGTTTAAAAATCCGATAAAAGGAATTGAATCTTTGCCACAAACTCAAGATTTTCTAATCACTTTATTTTTTAACCTAATGTCGTAGACCTTAGATATTTCAAAGTATCATTTCTGTTTGGTCAAATAGTCTAAATTTGAAATATCTAAGGTTCAGCCCATCAGGTTGCAAAGATATAGGGATTAGAAAATTTTAGTTTGTGGCAATAACTCAATTCTTTTATTCCGTTAGAGCATGGTTTATGCAATACTTTGATAAAAGTTGACTAGGTTAGCTGTGTCACTGCTCAGAAAAAGGTCTAGTTAAGATAAGGTTGACAGTGGGTCTCTTTTAATATTTTTTTCATTTCTTCTTCAACCCTGGTTTTGGGTGAAGATAATTCAGTTTTATTTATTGTTTTCCTGTCTCTCCAGGACGGTAAACTTGTTTTAATAAATTGCTTAAGTTTCACAAAAGTTAAATCTTTCGTAATAGTTTCTACATATATCAAATATACCATAATTTATTAAATGCCTAAGAATATGAAATAGAAAATAGAATTCCCTCTTCTCTCGTTGATCCAAGGTTCATTCTATTTATGCTCTTGGTTATTTAGTTTCGGGGTAAGAAAGATTATAGCTTTTTCGTGATAAGGAACATACTTGTCATGCAGTCTAAACAGACTCATGCATGATTATTTATTGGTAAAAATAAACTAATTTTCATTAAACCGTGGCAGTTGGCACAATTTAGATTTTTTATCAAAAAGCAAAAAAAATTTGTAGATTAAAACCCAAATAAAATATATTCCTCTGGTTTATCGAAAGAATGCATTATTTTATTCAGAGCTAGCTATTTTTGAACAAAAAAACATAATTTAAATCGGATTAAGGGAATTGAACTCTCACTTATAACCTTTTATTTTCACACAATCTCTAAAATCTTCACCTATTAGAGATGAGAGAGAACGAGTTAAACACATTCTTCAATTCAATAATTCTCAGCTCAAGCAAATTTTTTCAAATTTTATTTTTAAAAATTAATTCAAAAATGTTGAATTAAAACTCTAAACTTTTTCATCTGACCTTTGCCTGTGGATTGGCTTCTACGGTACATGAGAAGAAAGTTTCCCTTCTATCCATTGATCCTCCGGAGGATACAGCACTCTTCTTTGTTAACTTAGTTCGAGGTTTATCTAGATACAGGGGGAACCAATACTTAGTTCGAGGTTTATCTAGATACAGGGGGAACCAATAAATATGGGAATTAGTGAAGACATGAAGAGTCTCTAGCCAAAAGGTACCTTAATTAAATTTGACCCATCACTGTAATCTTGCCAGACTATACATGTGTTGCATAAAAAGTTCTGTGTCGACTTTACACTTGGTAGTCCAGACTGGATAGTACGAGGAAATTAATATACAGTACATATTGTACCGCCTCGAATTTTCCAACCTTTAAAGTGGGGTGGATTATATCAATTTTGGTTTAATCATTACATCGAAATCTTAACAAAATCCTTCCTCACCGAATTTTTAGGCGCGAAAAAGTTTTTAAAAATTACGTTCAATCGAAGACGAGTAAAAGTCATTATTTGATTCCCATGTTTACTGGAACACCCTGTTTAAACATTGACAACTCCTAGAACACAAACAGGAGAATAGGAATAGCAGGGAATCTAACTTGAAGATTCTTCATTTATAGAACCAAAATTCAGATCAGTCGCTTAAGACTAATTTAATTTAAAAGCAAATATAGAACGTTGTATTAGGGCATTACATGGAATAAAAGTAAATCATTCTGCAACATTTAGGTGTTCGCCAATTTTTTCCCTTTCGTGTAAACCTTTTTAATTAAGCGACTGAACTGAACTGGAATCCCTGAATTTCCAGGCCCTTACTTTTCCATTTTTTATTGTAATGTAAATTTTTAAAAAAAACATGGTCGCATTCTTTTAAATTTTTATAATAGTTATCACTTTCTTAAAATCAACTTATGTGTAGATTACTTACATTGAACATCAACAAAGACGACGTCTCTTGCTCTTCCCTCGGAATTGACTGCGCGGCATTCGTACTCTCCAGCATTGTCGTATCTCAGAAAGTCAATGATTATGGTTTGTCGATCCGTTAATATTTCTTGCCGATCCTAGACAAAGTAAAGATTGTTTTAGGTTCCAATATGTTTTGTAAATTGACCATTATATTTTTGATATTTTTCTCTAAATCAAGGCAAACAGAAGTTTTCCAAAGATATGAATGTTAATCAAGGCAGTCTATCCGTAACTGCGTTTTAAGATAGTTGGATTTTATCAGGTTCTATGTGGTTCGGGAAAATTCAAAAAGGAAATTCCAAAATATGACAAGACAGAAAAGTTCTAAGTTTAAAAGCATGTTATTGTGAATATATAGTTCATATATGTATCGTTAATATGTATCGTTAATATGTATCGTTAACGCTATGTATTCTAAACTTACCTTTAAATGCCAAGAAACAGTAGGAAGAGGGAATCCAGTAACCTAACATTAAATAACTATATTGTTAATATTTAATATTAATAATTGATATTCAATTTTAACCTAAAGGTCAGGTAAAAAGTTTTTATTTTAGAATATCTGATTATTTAGTTTATAAAAAATTGAGTCTTTGCCACACAATCAAGTTTTCTAATCCCTATATATTTGCATCATGATGATGGTTTAAACCTTTGAGAATTAACAATTTGAAAAATCTAGAGATCTACGTATTACGACTTTGGGTTGCAAAGATATAGGGATTAGCAAAACAGAGTTTGTGACATAGACTCAATTTCTTTAACAATAAAAAAATTATGTCTGAACTTAGACCTGACATCTTAGTTCCATTCTCTCCCCCTCCCTAGTTATAATATGCTTGTTACTTCCCAGTATCTTAGCTGTTGGAACAACTAAAAACATCCTCAGTTAGTTGTGAAAAAAATACAATCTCATAATTTTAAATAATTGTATAATTGTCAATAAACTAAACCGTTCTTTATATTAAGCAATCCTTCAGAAGTTTTATTGACAAAACGTTTAATAAAACCTAAATATAGAACTTAAAAAATAGCAATTATTTTGATAACTGTTACTGTAGAATTCCATATTCTAGTTTCGAAAAAAAGTCGCGGCTGAATACGATGATATTTCTGTGTGATGGATACCATCAGGTTAAAGAGTGAATAAATAAAAGCACTTTTAAACGATGGTGCAGGATTTTTCTCTTCTTCCATGGACGTACGATAGAAATATTGATTATGATCTTTTTATTGGCACAGTTCTAATTTTTGACTCTGCTAATTTTCTAAAGTTAATAAATGTACTATTTTAGCTTTTTATTGTGAAACACTTGACCAAGTTTTGACATATTTTTACAAACAAAGTTTTCACTTGGCTGCTTCATTCAAGGCTGTGCCAACGCTACACGGTTTCAATAGTGCAGGGTAAACTCCATAACATTTTTGAAAATTATTGGGTACAATTAAATTGGGTACAATTAAATTGGGTACAATTAAATTGGGTTAAATTAAATTTGGTACAATTAAATTGGGTATGATTTAAAATGTGGAATGCATTTTTCTGGCTTGAAATCGTTTATTATGGTTATATCTTCATAAGCAAGAAATGCACAAACTTTTGCAGCGAAACCACACTTGAAAATAAACAATTTTAATAATCAAAAACTTAGATATCAACTTCATTTCTGAGCAGGCAAAGCTTTAAGGATAACGATGTGCACCAGACATGCCAATTGAAATTACGTTTGCAGCCCTTTGAGAGTTTGTAAAATAAACGTCCCGCTTTAAATGAAGGGTCACTTTAATTTTCGTCGACAGTCCCTTTAACAAACGGGAAGAATTGTTAGGTTATTATTTAAAAATTAACGGATGCTTGATAACTAACCAGTAACAAAAAACGAGAGCAGATGCTTGATAAATAACCAGTAACAAAAAAACGAGAGCAGATGCTTGATAACTAATCAGTAACGAAAAAAGTACAACCACAGCAATTATCCAACCCTAGATATCTGTGTGCGTTTTCAAATCAACATAAAACCTTTTTTTATTTCGTGTCCACACATGAGTTGAAATACAGACATAATATCATTGGTCATGTGCTTTAAGCATGAGTGCATACTTGGTTATTAACTGTTTAATTATGCATAACTACTTACAGGGTCACCCAGGAATAGTAAATCATTTTACCATGATGAAAAAATTATTATTATTAGTAGTAGCTACAACTATGAGTTTTTTTAATTTTAAGAACCTTTTTAATTTACCCGTTCTTAAAACTTTTTTCGATTTTAACAAATATTACTAACCTATGATTGCCCCAAAATTTTGTTAAGTGACATCCCTCACTCCGGTTCATTTTTAGTATCGTGTTAACCTTTGAGCTTTATCAATTAGGGAACTCTCATTGGTCAGTGGATATGTCCAAAAAGAAGGAAAAAGAGCAAAGGAATTGAGTTTTATCCACAAACTCGGATTTTCTAATCCCTTTATCTTTCAAACCCAATGCCGTAGACCTTAGATATTTCAAACTGTAGACAATGTTGGCTAAAATTATCTAAGTTTGAAATATCACAGGTTTAAATCATCCGGTTGCTAAGAAATAGGGATTCAAAAATTTGAGTTTGTTGCAACGACTCAATTCCTTTAGCAGAAATCAAGTGTCCACAGTGGATATTCAGATTAAGTAATCGGGATTAAAGGTATCAAGTTATAAAGCTTTTTTTTAGCTCTGTACAGAGCTGAGCAATTTTGTTGTGGATTATCATAATCCTGATCGCTTGATCACGATATCCAGTGTGGGAACTTTTAATTTTAGGATCAATGCTTAATTTCAGTTATAAGGCAGCCAATACGGGACAGTACAATAAAAGAGGCACCCCCTTCGATTCTAATAAAATTAATACGACCTCCCCCCCCCCTGTGATACCCTTTAAGTTAGAAATATTTATTTATATGTATCATCTCAATATTAAAAAGGAATCCCTTCGTGAATTCTGCAAAACCACTTAATATTTCTCTTTTTGGTTTAAATTTATATTTATTTCCAAAGAATATTATTTACCTGAATCTGTTGTATCAATCTTTCTTATTATAAGTTCTCGTCCCCCCTCTACTACTCCTAGTCTATCCTCGTCAAATACCTGGACAAAATACAGGGATCATGTCTTAGGTACTTTCCCAAAGTCATTTTCCCAATGGCGACTTTCAAAGTGACAATATCCCAAGTGGCAACTTCCCAATTGTGCATGTTCCAAGCGGAAACTTGCCAAAGGTTAGTTTTTAGGCCTTCTGAAGCGCTGCATGCTTCTTAGATCGTCATAAAAGTCTCGTTCATTATGGTTGAACTCCGACCTCCCCCCCTGTATACCTATAAAACTGTAATGTAAGAGGACTAATTTTGAATAGTCCGACGAATTTAAAACGCAGCAATATTCTCATAGTTACTAATGCCGTTTACCCGCACTTGGTCGTAAATTACGATTTTAGACTTTCAAAGAACATTTCCCTAATTCTCCCGAGTTCCCATATCAAAATTTTAGGCAAATAGGTCAAGGGGTTCCTAAGTTATGATCGGACAAAGAAACAGACAACCAAACAGAGATTACAATTTTATACATAAAGATATATATACAACTATATTGTTACAGAACAACATGAAATACTCATGGAGTTGCTTAGATATTGTCTTTCTATTCCACAGTTTTAAGGGTAGCACAGTTCAAGATCATAAAGAAGTATATCTCTATAACAAGAACAAGAAAGAGAAAAAGACAAAGAACAAGCACAATAATAATAAAAAGGAGAAATAAAAGCATCAATAGAAAACCATCCCTACTCCCCTGTGATGCTAGAAAATGCCTAAAGACTACAGAGTAAAGACGTAACATTTTACAATACAAACCATGGTTGGGCCTGCTGTGATAAGTCGACCGTTCCATGACCAGCTGATAACTGCTCCAGCTGCAATATTTAATGTTTTTAGATCATTTTTATTCTTGAAAGGAATTGAGTCTTTGCGACATACTCTTATTTTCTAGTCCTAATATCTTTGCAACCCAATGGCGGATTCCTTTGATAATTAAAATTAGTAATTCTGTTAGATCAACCAACCTAAGTTTGAAATTTTACATATTTACTTAACAGTTTAGAAAATATATATATATTAAAATTTGAGTTTGTGTCAAAAACTCAATTCCTTTTACATTGTTTAATTTTGTTTTAGCTTTATATCATATTCTTAATGTTCATTTATTTCATGATATAGGTATACTTGATGTGGTATCGTGGTACCACATAACGTGCAATAAACTGGTATCTAAAAATCTACACTTAATGAGATTTATACAAGTACTTAAACCTGTTTTCATCTATCATTTGTGTAACCTGTTGACATTGCAGATCGGGTTAGTCCTACTCTGCGGGCCTAACTCCTCATGCGCTGTCATATATTTGTAACCTGGCATTACAATACTTCAGCTATCTCCATATGTCGAGATAGCCTTATATGTCTGAATGCACGTACATAAATAACACCCTAATAATAAAGTCATTCACATGTATAAGTATATTTATTGATACATTTAATCTTACATCTATAAATGCATACATATATATCATATACATAATAATAATAGCTGGACATAGGCTTTAGATCCCTTGGTATTGTTAAGGTCTCCTAGCTCCGTGTCTGATCGCTATATCAGTCAGGACATCGAGTCTAGCGTGTAGAACAGCTATGACTTGTAATCCTTGTATTAGCTTAATATCTGTATCATTGCAGGTACCTTGGTCAACTCGTTCCTGCATGATCTGGAGCAGGCTCCATATCTGGTTGTCTAACCTGTCCTTCAACCCTTTCCTGGTCGGGTTGGGAAACATCCGATATTCCTGCTCAATAGCCTTCCCTGTATCCCATGTGTTGATGTCAGGGACCGCAGGTGGTTGACTGGGATTGCTGCTTCCTTGCATAGTGGAGTTGAATGCTCGTATCTGCTCCACTATCTCACCTAGAAAGTCATACATATCCACCATATCTTCTCGCCCTACTTCAGCTCTACTCGTAGTAACCTCTCCACCTGCTTCCTCATCATCTGAAGCAGGAACTGTGGTAACTGGATCATTCCCACTTATGGAGGGAGCTGAGTCTGCTGGATCTACTCCATCTTCATCTGGTTCTAGTCTACCAACATAGGCCGGGTTCCGTACTAGAATAGGAACACGGTTCATCTTCTTCTATCTTGTCCAAAAGGGTTCTCTCTGTATGCTGTGTGTGCACTATATGTAGCACAGGTCCCAGGACGGCTATGTGCAGTGTGACTTGTGTCTACTCTGCAGCGGTCCGGGATGTACTGATCCATCTGGCTTCCTGTTGGATTCAAGGGACTGTTCACTCATATATCAAACAATCCGGAGTACAACATTGATACCCTAAACCTAATACCTGATACCTTAAACCTAATACCTGATACCTGAAACCTAATACCTGATACCTGAAACCAGATACCTAGTTTTTGATACTAGATATCTGAAACCAGTTTCCTGGTAACTAATAAACAATACCTGATACCTGACACCTGTTATCTAGGTCCTAATACTAGATACCTGACACCTGATATCTAGGTCCTAATACTAGATACCTGACACCTGATATCTAGGTCCTAATACTAGATACCTGACACCTGATATCTAGGTCCTAATACTAGATACCTGACACCTGATATCTAGGTCCTAATACTAGATACCTGACACCTGATATCTAGGTCNACAGGGTTTAGGTTCAGTTGTAAACCATGTATCCTCCCCTCCTAGTAAACATAATATATATAAACACAGGGTTTAGGTTCAGTTGTAAACCATGTATCCTCCCCTCCTAGTAAACATAATATATATAAACACAGGGTT